TTATATATATATATATATTCCTCAATTTCTGTAGTCAATAAAAATATCAAAAGGATAAATGATCAATTTCACTGCTTTTACAGATGGAACACCACAAAATACCAACCAAGAAGCAAATTTCACTTCAATGATGGAGTTTGTCCTTTGGGGATTTTATTGTATTCCCAATCACGGAATGTTTCTTTTTATGACTTTTTTCTTGCTTTTGTGATATGACTCACAGGAAAAGGCATTATTATTCTCATAACTAAGCACCACCAATCAGGACAATGCTTATTTTTGAGTGGCTTACAATTTTTTAATTACTCTTCATTTTATGGTGCTTCCCAGATATTGCATTTTTAAACTTTATTTATTTGTTAATTACATTTGTTGGTGTAACATTGGTTAATGATTATGTAGGTGTCAAGTGTACAATTCTAAGATAAATCATCTGTATATTGCACTATGTGCCCACCACCCAGAGCCAAATCTCCTGTCACCATATATTTGACTTTCCTTTATCCTTTACCAACCCCCACCCTCCTTCCTTCCGGTAACACCATGCTGTTGTCTGTGTCTCTGAATCATTTCAATATATTCCCTTTGTTCATAACATGAATAAAATCATCCAGAATTTTACCAGCACACATGAGATGCTCTATTTTTCACAACAGTTAATCTAGGGACAGAGACTTTCACTTCTGAAAAGGGATCTAACCACCCAATATATGGAAGAGAAGAAGTGTGCCATGTCCATGTGATAAAACATATGCACATTTTTCTAAAATTGTGGATGCTCTAGATATGTACAAATTATAGGAATAAATAAAGGAAAGCAAATCCAGACCAATTATGAAGGAACTAAAATACAATTCATAGAAGGATTTTTAACTTTATCTTCAAAGTAAAACTAGGTGATTAAGTGGTATTTCTTCACCCAGGGACTCCCCCATCCTGGGAGCTTTACGCCAAGAAGGGGTTGAGGAAGACAGGTCATCTAGAGAGAAAGCAGTGTCAAGTGATAAACCCGGACGATTGCCAAACAGAAGCAGTCACCTAGAAATTAAGTTGGTACACGGGAGAAAGATGTCCCCCGGGGTGAGCATGGCTACTTCCTACTTAGGAACAGCCAGCGTGAAGCTAGCAAGAATTGTAGAGTCACCGTGACTGACACCAAGGCACCAAGGAACTTAAGAAGTTTACAGGTTAGAAAGCACCTACACTCACAAAGTCAAGTTCATGCAGATCCATAAAGGTAAGCGATAATTTTGTTTTAAGCTTACTTAATTTAAAGATAGTTATAAACTTGAGGATCAACATACAAAGAATAAAACAGGGAAGCATGAAATTCTAGGATCTTTATCTGAAAATGAATAATTACCTAAGATAAATCATGCAGTTCTTAACTTTCTTAATTATAAAATAAAATTAGAAATATGTGAAATAGAAATAGTAATATTATTTACAATAAAATTATTCACTTCATGTAATTTTGAAAACTAGTACTGATGAAATAGGGAACTGTGAAAAAATATTTCTCTTATCAGTTTTAATTTATCAAAGTATTAAGGGAAAAACAGCTGATGAGGCTAGAAGGTGGCAACAAGTGTAGTAGATTTGATGAGATGGAAAACATAATATTTGTTTTGGAAAGGTGCAAATCAAATATTAATAAAGTGTAATAGAAATTGTCAGACTATGTTGACTGTCTGATACCGGGGGAATTTAACATAAAGTAAAGCAAGATTCTGTGTGTATATTTGTGTTTGTATTTACTTTCATTCATATGTTCCAACTATCTATATGTCCAGAGCAAATGATTAGGTTGAATCAAAGTTATATTTTATTAGGCAAAATTATGAAGGGAAAAGAGTAAAAGAGAATTGTATTTGGTTTCAATTGTGAGTGAATGAGCCATATTTCTTGACTGAGTTAAAGGTTTATTTATAGTTATCAGACAGTGCATACACTGTGTATGAGAAGTTAATAGGGAAAGTTATTTAACCGGATGATAGAATTGTTTTTTATATTTAGCATAAGTGATAGGTGTGGTACATAGAGTAGAACATTAATATTGGATATATTTATTCCCTAACTTAAAAGGTTTGTTTTGAGAAAGCTGATTCTCATTGATTATATAATTGGGAAGGCTTAAAGCTCATTTGAAATAAGAATAAAGAAAAACTGTAAGAAAAAAGCTTTACATTGAAAAAAGATGGAATAGGTCAATCAATACAGAAAAAAAATGATGAACTCAGACAAAAACAATAGAAAAAGCTTGCATCATAATTCCACCCTTAATAGGGGTGCAATGATTAGATATTATTATTGCACAGTTAGCTCTACATAACAATGCACACTTCTCTTTTCCTTTTCATATCATTCCACTTAAGTATAAAATATATTAGGATTTTATTTCTTGGATTTCTTTTAACTGCATATCTGTTCATTTCTGAAGTTTCTAATATTTCCTAGAAATAGAGCAAGGTAATGATGGAAATAATCTTAGAGTTTATAGGAATACTTTCATGCATTTAACCCAGTTAAAAGAACATGGAGATGTGGTTCAAGAACATCAATGGATTAACCATCTTAAATTTACCATATTTGCAGATGGAGAACAGACTAAACACGGGAAACTCAAATTTCACTGCAATGATGGAATTTGTTCTTTTGGGGTTTTCTGACATTCCCAATATCCAATGGATTCTTTTTGGGATATTTTTAGTCATCTATCTGACTATCCTCATATGCAACAGCATCATAATACTGGTAACAAAAACTGACTCTGCTCTCCAGACCCCCATGTATTTTTTCCTCAGCAATTTTTCCTTTCTAGAAATCTGTTACGTATCAGTCACTATCCCAAGAATGCTCATGGACCTTGTGACCCAGAAAGGAAACATTTCTTTGCTTGCTTGTGCTACACAGATGTGTTTTGTCCTTATATACTCGGAGGCTCAGAGTGTCTCCTCCTGACCGTGATGGCCTATGACCGCTACGTGGCCATTTGTAACCCTCTGCACTACGCTCTAGTCATGAACCACAAGGTCTGTGTCCAGCTGGTGACTGCCTCCTGGGTCAGTGGAGTTCCAGTCGTAATTGGCCAAACATGCCAGATTTTTTCTCTTCCCTTTTGTGGGACTAACACAATTAATCATTTCTTCTGCGACATCCCCCCAGTACTCAAGCTAGCTTGTGGGGACACATTTGTGAATGAGATAGCGGTCTATGTAGTTGCCGTGATATTTATCATGGTTCCATTTCTGTTGATTGTTGTCTCCTATGCCAAAATTATTTCCAGCATTCTGAAATTGACTTCAGCCAGAGGGAGAGCGAAAGCCTTCTCCACCTGTTCATCTCACCTGATTGTTGTAGTCTTATTCTATGGAACAGCTACTATCACTTATTTGCAACCCAAACCAAATCAATCTGAAGGAACTGGGAAACTGATCTCCCTTTTCTACACCGTTTTGATCCCAACATTGAACCCCATTATATATACTCTGAGGAACAAAGACATCGCGATGGCACTGAAAAATCTAGCAACTAAGTTCTTACGATGACTCAAAGACTTGAACTTGCTATCAGGTTTGTTTATATATTTATCTCGTAGATACAACAGGAAAAAATCTAGTTTCATTCCTATTTTATTGTTTTCAAAAATTTATGCATTTTTTAAAAAAATTTTATTGTTGAGAGTATTACAGATGTTCCCCTATTTCTCCTCTTTTGCCCTCACCCCGATTTTTCAGTAATGATCATTAATATCATCATAGCTACCTCACATGATGTTAAAATGGGTTTAGTTTCATAGAGTTAACTAAAGGGCTTCTGTGTAATCAGAGCACAAATTATCTGAATTGTAATGATCTAATTTGAAGGTTCATCCAGTCACTATGAACTAGTGAGGAAAGAGATTGGCTGAGCAATACAATGATACTTAACTGAGTGTGTTACTAACCAGATATTAGAGTCATGTTCCATGATATATTTTCTCTAACGTTCCCATTTCTTCAGATATATTTATTGAACTCTACTGTATTGTGATTATATCGGGCCAACGAGGGAAAACCAGAAACAGCTGAGCTGGTGGAAGCAGGGCAATTCTAGCATTTTTTTTCTTCTGTTTGTTGTTGGTTTTTGCATTTTTCCTGTTTCTATCTCCTGTCACTCTCCATGGTGCTTTAAGACTACAATCCTGAGGGTGTCACCTCTATTATGCCAGCACTAACTGTCTCTGATAACATCATCCCTCCCCTTACCACTTCGAGTTTTGCTTCAGTGATATCTACTTAGTATTAGAAGTATCTGAAATTTTTACTCAAAACTATCCATATTAATGTGTCTTGGGTTGAATATAGGACCATATATATCTAGAACTTGAAATGTGGCCTTATTTGGAAAAATAAAGGCCTTTGCAGTTGCATCAAATTAAGGAAATAAGATCATCCTGACTTAAGGTGGACACTAAATCCCATGACCAATGTCCTTATGAGACAGAAAGGCATAGAGGTTTAGAAAACAGATAGAGACACGGAGAAAACCATGTGGAGATTGAGGCAGAGATTGGAGAGATGCACCTAAGAACCATGCAGCCAAGAAGATCAGGAGCCAACAAACACTGGAAGAAACAAGAAAGTTTCTTCCTTAAAGCCTTCGGAGGGAGGGAGTGAGAACCTGCCAACACTGGGATTTGCGACTCAGAATTCTGAACTGTGAGAGACCTAATTTTGTTGTGTTAAGCCACTCAATCTGTAGTAACTGTTACAGTCGATCAAAGAAAGTAATACACCACCTCAATGTCTTTTCATTAAAATGCTTTTATGTGAATTATCTGGCATGATTTCTGTATCATTTGTGGGCAATAATTTGGTGGTTTGTGTTTTTTAAAAACAAAATCAAAATAGTTATCTTTTTAAGTAAAACAATTCATAGAAGTAACCTCATGTGGTAGAAATAATATTTGCCCAAGAATGAGTATTACAAGGGTTTGTTCAGGAATGCTTATTAAAGGTTTTTTTTATTGTGCAACAGCAAACTGGAAGCAAAGGGAAGGCCCTCTCAGCTGGAGCCCATTAACACACTGGAAAGCATCTGCAGCAGCAACACTGCAGAGCATCTCAAGACATTGGATCAGATCCACTTCTCTGAGGACATCCCAGGCTTTGCTGACATGTGAGAAAGAATGCACATGGGTGTAGGTCATAGCTCTATGTTTCTAAAACAAAGAAGGAGAGAACTCCCTCATCTCATGCAGGATTTCACATGAGCTTATCAGTAGTGGTCGTGTATTTACATTTGCAGTATCTGGCAGGTTGTGGACGAGAAGAGAATATTGCCTTCCTCACAGTGTAGAATTTCAAACAATTTCTGATTTAATTATTTTATTTTTATTTAGATTTAGGACTTGTTACAAAGGAATTATAATACATAAAACAAAAAATAACATTATTATTTTTCTAATTGAGCTATAATTGATATATATTATATTGTTTTCAGGTGTACAAGATAATGAGTTGATGTTCATCTGCTAATATATTGTGAAGTGATCACTGCAATAAATCTACTTAACATCCATTGCCATATATAGTTATGAAACATTATTTTCTTATGATGAGGACTTTTAAGACTAGCTCACCTAGCAACTTTCAAATATGTAATACAGTATTATTAAGTATAGCCACCTAGGTAACATCTTCTGATTTATTGATCTTATGACTCCAAGTTTCTATCTTTGTCAGCCTTCATCCATTTTGCCCACCCAATAACCCTGCCTCTGGCAACCACCAACTACTCTGTTCTCTGTTTTTTTAGAAAATATTGGTTTGCCCCAGCTGGTTTGGCTCAGTGGATAGAGCGTCGGCTTGTGGACTGAAGGGTCCCACCTCTGATTCCAGTCAAGGGCACATGCCTGGGTTATGGGCTCAATCCCCAGTAGTGGGTGTGCAGGAGTCAGCGTATCAATGATATTCTCTCATCATTGATGTTTCTATTTCTCTCTCTCCCTCTAACTGCCTCTCTGAAACCAAAATAAATAAAAAAGAAAAAGGAAATATTGCGTTCTTCATAGTAGCAGGATTTCAAATAATTTCTGATTTATTTATTATTATGTTTTTATTTATTGTTTGGATCCATTACAAAAATAATGTAATATGTAACTCAAAAGAAATAACTTTTTATTCAGTAAATAAAAACTATATGACAAATAAAAAAGCAGCTATACCTAAATATGAAAGAAAGAAGATGAATTACTTTATTTCACTCTGATTTTTCTATTGATATTTTTCATTTATTTTAGAACACTGTAGAACTCTGAGAATCAAGATTCATCATACTCACCATGTAAAGAAGATGTATGTAAGCTCAAAATTTGCACTCCAATCAAAGCTGAAAATTTGGATTTCTCACCTTCATTATGATACAGGAAATTGAAATGGAACTGATAATAAAACACTTTGGAGATCATAGAATTATACATAAATACAGCACGTTTGTGTTAGTAATTAATCATGTAATAACTGAAACTAATTTGGACCAAATCCCTTTTAATAAGAAGAGATACTGGTTTATCTTTATTTATATCTGTTTCTATGACTTACTATAGAAAAAATATATATGCTACATTAAAGATTAATTCTATGATTTTTTTCACTAAAACATATTTTTAGAAGTAATTTTTCTTAAGAATAGTTGGTGTACAATAGTGTACAAACATGGGATTGCTCATTTCTTTGTCATCTCTTTTATTACTCTTTGTATTTTTATTTGCTTTAAAATATACTCTTTGTTTTCTTTCTAATCTTTACTTTCCAAACCACCTTATTCCTTTTAGGGGAGATGGGTTTCTGTTAACCTTAAAAATAAAGAGCCAAAGTGAAAGGTAACAGCATTTATTTGAGATGAAAGAAAATAGCTACTTGGGTAGCAGTGATTAAGAGAGAAACCCAAATAGTGTTTGGGGTTGTGAGAGAGAGGCAAGGGTTATTTAGGTAAAACGGAAGGGAAATAAATACACGAATAGAAGGAATATCTGTTGATGCCAATGAGCCAAGGAAGAAATTTCTATAGGTGCAACCAAACTGCACCTATAGAAATTCAGAGTCTGGACTTGTTACAAAAAATTATAGTATGTAAAACACATAAAGAAAAATTTTCTTTTACTAATTGAGGTATTATTGGTATATAAGAAATTAAAGACAATCTTAGAATTAGCACTACCATGTGTGAGATAACTTCTGATTAGACCAAAGCTGAAATAGGAAGGGGGGACAGGTAAAGCTTTCAAATCAGAGGCTAATGCAGGTTTAATACAAATTAAGGGAGCCATTTTCTCAAGGCCACCATGACATCCTTATTCCTCAGAATGTGTATCATTAGCTATCTTTGGTAGTGCTACTTCTAAGATTGTCTAATTTTCAGTCTGTAGTAAGGATGTCTGCTTCCCTGTTAGCCCTGAAAATAATTGGAATACAGTGTTGCTTTGGTCCAGTTTAAAGGCTATTTTTCCCAGTCAAACCTTCCAAAGGTTTGAGGACTATAAGTCATGTTAGGCAATTGCTCTGGGGCAGCAACACTGACTCTATTTTGAAGAAGCTCTATCTAAATTAATTCTCATAGCTCTTTATATCTTAAAAAGAGAACTAAAAACTTTAAGACAATACTTTAGCATTTGACTTTTAGGGAGCAACTTTCTAATCATTGTGGTATATAATAAAGAGGTAATATGCAAATTGACCATCTCTCCAACACACAAGATGGCCACCCCCATGTGGACACAAGATGGCCTGCAGGGGAGGGCAGCAGTGGGCAATCAGGCTAGCCCGGGAGGGGAGCTGGCAGAGACAAGCACTGCAGGGGAAGGCAGTTGGGGGGAATCAGGCCTTCAGAGTAGGGCAGTTGGGGGTGACCAGGCCTGCAGGGTAGGGCAGTTGGGGGCAATTGGGCTTTCAGGGGAGCAGTTAGGCATAGATCAGGCTGGCATGGTAGTGGTTAGGACGTTATCACAATGACAGGCAGAAGTCATAGGGGCTACCAGGCAGACAGGCAGGTGAGCGTTTGCGAGCCAGTAGTCCTGGATTGTGAAAGGGATGTCCGACTGCCCAATGGGATTGGACCAAAATGGGCAGTTGGACATCCTTCGAGGTGTCCCCAATTGGAGAGGGTGCAGGCTGGGCTGAGGGACACGCCTCCCCCCATGCACAAATATCATGCACCTGGCTTCTAGTATTTTATTATAATTTATACTACTTAAGTTTAATTTTTTTATTTTTCATCTCAGATATATTATT